GTAGTACAACTTGTTCCAAGTTTTAGTCTTGGTGATCTAAGTTTATGTATATTCATAAAAGAAATCAAATAATATATCCTGTTATTTTTACACTGCATTTGTGCAATGAATAGTAGAATTATCTAATATGAAATTTACATTGTGATTTTGTTTCTGTAAGCGCAGATGGAAAATTTGGAAGTGGTTGTACTAATATATTATATCTTTGAAAAAAATCAAAATGAAATATTGTTTTTACTACTCTATCAGTGGTTGTGCTTAACTGATTTCTTTTGCAGTTTATCTTCAGCAGTTCTACCTGTTTTTTGATGGTCATAATTACCTTATTCAGACCTTTCCCTAAATTTGCATGTTTCTATCTATCTACTCTTGCCTGTGGTGTGTGTATGTGTAGAAAATACTGACTGTAGCCCTTGCATGCCTAGCTGCCATATAGTGCAAATACAGATACCAGTAACTGCTCATTGCATGACATTGAATAAGCTTCCTGGCTCGTCATATGCATGATTAATAAACATAACTGAAAGTTGAATATTAAATCAAGCATGGTTGCATAATTTCATTTTTATCTTCCTGCATGGTTTAATGTTCATAAATGATTTATCATCTTCCGGAATGCATTAACCGTCCACCCTGCTTTCTCCAGTCTTTAACCACTATTGCAGATAATAAAGAAAGTAGAACGTTCCTGAGAGGTAAAATATTGGTAAGAAATCAATGGATACATGTGTTATGTCATTGGACTGACTGCATCACATGTCGTTCAAGCTGTTTGCACATTGGTTATTTGTTTTGTTTTTGTATATTTGCATAATAAATAGCTCTTTTACATAATTACATATTCTCTCATTGTAATGCATTGTTGGTTATTTGTATGCCTTTCCAAATGTCGCAAAAAACAATTGTAGAATCATTCAAAATTTTGAGTTCACATTTCCTAGTATAACCATAGGATGTACATATTTCATATCCCGTGAAAAACCACAAAATTATGGCACAAAGATACAGGAACAGATGTATAATAATATGCATTTATTGTAGTTCTAAATTGACTTTTATTCTATAAGGCTGTATCTTGTACTAGACCCTTTTCCCAATTGTTAGTGCATTTGAAGTGATTAAAAAAAGGTAATCAGTAGTGAGTCCATCAGGGTTATGAAATGTGCCTGTCTAAAGCACTATTAAAAGTGAAATACAATAGTCTGTAGTCACTGTTTATATTTTATAAATTTGGTGCTATTTGGTGGATTTTCAATCAAAAGTGGATACATTATGTCAAATTTGTGTTTCAGTCCATGTTACTGCATTATTAATAATCACCTCACCCCCAACGTACCAAGATGAGTGATATTTAAGGTTATACAAATGGCCATGATGTATGCCATGCATTTTGGTTTGTGTATGTGTTTTGTGCATGGCAATAATGTTTCATTCTCACATTCTATGTTAAATCTAACACTGTATATCTACTGTTACATCCATCAATGTGTGCTCTCAAGTGATAGCAATATTTGCATAAAAATACAAGTCTGCTGTTGTCTTTAATCGTGATAGCAACAGTGTTTCCCAAGCGTAATTATAGCAAACATGGGCCAATGATCTGTTATAGAGAACACATGATATAATGCATTTATCCAGGTTTTACTTACCCATGAAACGTAATGACATAATTCTTTGTTTTCAAAAATATAACGACTATCATAAAATCTGTATTAGAAGCCGCATCCCTAATAGAAGTCGCACCCATTATTTTTGAACAATTGAGAACCAAAAAATCACAATTTCTCTTATGTGTAGATGCTGTTGTATTGTCTAATTTTAATAGAAGCTGCGGTTTCTAAGACAGATTTTACAGTACATGTACTATTTTAATACATATTTTGGAAATTTTAAAATGTAATCTTTTCAGTAATCTCAAATATTAAGGTAATTGCATGCTAAACAGTTTTATTCTGTTTTGATGCTTTAATGAAATTTGTAAGGACAAAATAGCAAGCATCTTTTCTGTATCTTGAGAAACTTTCATGTTTCACTGGTTATTTATACCTGGATATTTGCAGTATATATTCCATCACCTGCACTCTAATACAGACCTCTTAGTGGGGTCATCATCCGCATGACAGCTTTTGAAACCATTTGGTAAGCTTGGCTCCAAGGAAATGGTAATCGGAATCCGTTTCCAATGCTGTTTTCATTATTTTACTGCAAAACTGCTGTGATTGTTGTGTGTCAGCAGCAAATTACTGTCAGAAAGTCAATATAGAGTTTAAAACCTGATTTCAGGCTGCAAACTGTGTTTGTGTGTTACTTGCTGTGTGCAGGGGAGGGTAACATATTGAGATATTGTTGCCTTTACTTTGTGTGTCTGCTAGGTGGGATGCTGATTGGGGGGAAATTATTAAAAAAAATGTCTTTTTGACTTTCAAATTATTATATTCATGATGAATTACTTAGTGTTTTGCAGTTAAAATCTAATTAATAGTTTTAGTGTTTCTTCTACTTCTACATTATTAATTAACGTTGCAATCGACAAAGAGAATATCCTGTCCATGATAGTTTCTATTTTTAGATCACGGCAGATGTTTTTCTTACTCTATTATTCATTAGCCATGATTTGTTTTCTGTGAACCTGTTTAACACTTTTCTAGACTAAACATTGTAGACAGAGCTGTCCAAAAGTCATTCAGCGACTTAATTTAAAATATGTTGTGTTAACATTGTGTATAACCATTCGTTCTCTAAGACGTTAACTGTGATAAATTTCTAGGTTGTTAATCTTTCCCTGTGAAAATATAAAAATGTGTCGCTTTTGTTTTTAACCAAAAATGATTTTTTAGCATGCAGTTGACAGTTAAAAATGGGTCGCTCACGACTTGTTTTTTTTTTATTAATGCCAAAATATCTTGAAAATGAAGGAAAACTGTCAAAAAAGGAAAAGGAAAAATAGCGGACACTATGACAACAGAAACTGATTGTTTTTAAAAAGTCTTACATGACTAACATTTTTCTGTACAGTGATACACTTCACATTCATTCTCGCACACACTAGGCTGATTTTTTTTTACTCTCCTCGTCATTTTAGGTTTTTATGTATAGAGTATAGATTTAAAAAAAAAAATGTTCATTATTTCAGAAACATATGCAAGTGATGGAGGACCTGAATAAGTTAAAGGACCACTATTATTCTGAATACATGTCTGCATTAAATGATAAAGTGGTGACGCAGCGGAAAGAGATACAGCAAAGAACTGACGACTTGAACAAGAAAATATTAGAAAAACAAGAGAAAGAGGTAAGATGGCCTGAGATGGCAGTATTTCACATTCTTTCTCAGGAAAGGATCTTAATGCCCGTTGTCAATCAGGTTCAGTAAACAGCTGTGTACTTTAGGGCAGATCATAGTTACTTGTAAGGTACCTAAATAGCAGAAACTTTAGAAATGTGATGATAAAATAAATAGAACCTATGTCAAAAATAGGTTGCAACATTTCACTTTGAGCTTGCATGCATCAATTTTGTGCTCTGTGAAAAAGAAAATATAATAAGTGCAGCTATGATTGTTGATCATATTTATGTTTGTAGTAAAACATGAAATACTAATAATAAAACAGTTTTCAGACAATTTAAGCTACCAGAAAGAAACAAATAACTATAATCATTTCCTTGAAAATATTCGTTCAATGTTTTGCACCTTTTAATGTAGGTTTCTATAAAATCTTAGTTTATTTTGAAATGGAAAAATGACTTATGACTTATTAAACTGACACTTTTGTCAGTACTGCCCAGCTGGGAATGTTTGCTTGTTGATAATGAGACGTTGTGCATTCACAGACAAGCTAGTGAATTCAAAGAATTGTTACTTATGTGCCGTGCTTGGGCATAGTTAAATTTGTGCGTAACTACAGTAAACTGTATAGTTATGACCATGAGCAATGATTATGTTTTGAACTGTGTATGGCATATAGTGCACACAATGTTGATGATAACAATACAGAAAACAAAAGAACATTAACTAAGAAGTAAATTATGTACATATGTTGTTCCAATGACAATATTATTTTTAACATTATTATGACAAATTTATGTTTTTAGTGTGAAAGGTGATTTAACTTGATTTTGACATTAAAGGAGTCAATAAGAAATAACTATAGTGATGACTTGTGTTCTATTATTGACAATCAGTTTATTCAATTTTATTTCTCATTAGAGAGCTGAGAAGCGTGCTATTATAAAAAAGAAGTTTGAGAGGTCTAGCTTAATAAATGATAGTTCCTTTGCAAAGAGTATACCTAAAACACAGTGGTATAGAGTAAGTATCACATCCCTTGGTGTTTATCGGCTGTATAAACTGACATCAATGAAAATGAATGCAATATAAAGTCTTGTGACTTAAATGGGCGAAGTACACATATTTTTTACTTTCAGGGATCTCAGAGATCTAAAATGCCATTGTCAGAGTGGGCGACATTTACATTCAAGTTTTACGCTATTTGATTAACATTTTGTGTATGGAAAATCAAAACTATTGAGTTGTACACATGAATTATTCATGCATTTTGTGTGACGTAAATGCGGTGGATCCAGAGCCTGTTTAGCTGCAGGGCAGCAAAATAAGTGAATATAAAACCCAGGCAGCCCTGCAGTTGTTGTTAACATTGTTGTCATGGATAATACTAGTCCATGAGGCCACTCATATCAACCAGCAAAACAAACAAGTGATATTAGGTAATACGCACATGAAATTCATTTATATTTGCAGAATTCATGTATATTTGTTAGCGTAGTAACAACTCTTTACAATTTCATTTAATCAACTATTTAGATAATCGCACTTCAAGATAAAATGATCAAAGAAGGAGTATTAAAAAGTCAAGGTGACATCGATGAGTTTTGGCACGAAATGAGTGTTCCAGAAAAATACAATGAAAAGTTTGGATTTAATGTGAAATCTAATGATGCCAGTCTACATGGAAGTTCTTCAAGTAAGTGTTTGTGGTTTCTTTCCTCCAGACTTCAAGCATTTGAATACTGAAGAATACTTTTTTTTCATGATGACATGCATATGTTGATTCGCTTCATGATCTGATGGTCGAAAGGCGGCCATTTTTATGCTTAAAATTATTCAAAATCAAGCATTTATACCATTCCATGCAGTATCTCGGTGTTTTGATGGTTTGTATTCGAACTTAGTACATTAATTTGACATAATGAGACTTTGATGCACATCATTTTGTTTTGTTCATCGGATTCATATCTCTGACATGCTTTGATCAATCACGTTCAAACTTTATAGATACATCATGTTGCACATATGCACATGTATTTGTTCGATGAAAAGATTCAAGATAGCTGAATGGTGGCTATATTTTAATGTTAAAGTTCATCAAAACCAAGCATTTCTGCTATTCCAAATTCAGATCTATTGTGTATGGAAAGATTTATGTGCCCAAAACAAAAATACACTGTCACCACACACTTAAAATGTCTTCTGAAACTGATTAAAAATCAACCCACACATTTTTTCCCACTGTGATATGGAAAATAATAAAACATAACTTGAACTGATTGGAAATCAAATATACTTACCTATCTCTAAGGTTTCTACAGATACACAGCTTTTTAAAAAAAAAAAATTTAAAACAATCTTTCCAATGAAATTACTTGACAATATAACCACACAATAAAAAAAAACTATTGTAATACGTTGCTCTAGAACAGGAGAGGGTGGGGGTGTGGTGGTCGTAACAATATGAGTGCCTTCTATGATTCAATTTTCAACCCATAATATGGTGGAAACACATTTCTGTCCTACAAAAACCACATTTATAATAGAAACACATGCAAACTAACAGCTGCATTTATTGTATGCTTGATTATGATTATCACTACATTTAGTATGCAGTGTCCAAAAAACAATGCAACATGTTAGCAGCCAAATTTGCTTGTCAGTTAGCAATGCTGCTTTCAAAAGTTGTTACCCTTCTTGACTATAAAACCAAAATGTGTTACTTACATGTACGTGCACTGTATGTATTGGGGAAACTAAAATTGGAAAATAAAATAGTAATGACAAAAGTAGTGACAGGGAACATGCTTATACATGTTGAACAACAAAAGCACAAATATGACATATAAATGATTTCCCACCTCAATAATGGTATCTGCTATGATGCATCCAACCCTGCTGATGAAAAAAAATCACGTGGTGGTGTTCCAATTTTAAAGGCAGCGACTGGACGCTTCTCTGAATGCAACTTTGCTAACTGATCATGCCTAGCCAATTTTCCCACTAACACATTGCATTGATGTTTGAACCTACATGTGTACATGTAAAATACAACCTATTTTGACCATAGACACGCCTCTGCCATTCATATAAGTGAATTCGCTACTACATTACTAGTACTAGGGTAGATAATTTACAAGCAATTCATGGATCAGACTGTTCTAGTGTAAGTATAACCGGTACATGGATGACACATATGGGACTAACTGTATTTATGTGATACTGTCAACTTACATAGAGTTGTTATCTGATTTGGAAAATAACATGATACATGTATGGTACTTTCAGTATGGACATTAAATGCAAGACTACAGAGACATCATTCTTTGCAAATTAAAAAGAAATTGAAGGGTGACATTTTGATCATTGTTGAACTGTGTGCTTGTTATTATTTCAATGTCTGTGGTCTGTGTGTCTTATATTTTTGTGAACTGCAAACTCCAGACTGTTTTTTTGCTTCTTAATGATAGTATGATAGCTGACTAAGGAGAAATTGAATTACACAAAATTCCAACCCCACTATTTCATGTAAATACCCTCAGTTCTTTAGGTCACTTATTTGTCATCTTAATTAAAAACATGACTTTTACTCAATGATTCATTTGCTCAATTTAGTCAGCAGAATCACTTCCACCTGAAATATGCTAATTGAGGTCAACTTATGACTGAGTGGTGCACTTTGTTAAAATTGGTAATCGGTAATAATTTCATACAAACACTGCATGAGGAGATTACAGTTAAAACAAATATAGGATGGTGTGCAAGCAGTCACAATTTTGTAAGGCATGTGTATTTTATTGTTGGATGTCACTATGTTTGATGTCTTTATACGTTGAAATGTTTGTAAATGTGTCACCGATGTAAAACTTACTAACCTT